GGGCGGGCCGGCAGGGGGCGGCGTGGGCGGTGCGGACCCGGTACCCAGCGGGGTGGTACCAAGGCAGCGCGCTGAGGGCGGTCGCTTTCTTCGCACGTTTGTGCGGGAGGAATATTCAGCGGGAAGAATATTCAGCACAAATACGTTGTTCGTGTCTGCTTGATTGCTACTGCACAGCGGTTCTTGTTGCGAGAATAGAGGAGTCTAAAGAATATTAATGCCTGCCTTAAGACAACCAAACATACAGAAAAACCCGTTAGCAGCACGTTTGGGAGAGCAAAGGATACTTGCAATGTGGATAATATCAGGTTGGGTTAAATCCAAAACCTACGTGTGATTTCTTTTTTTAAAAAGCTTTATAAATCCTGTCGTAAGCTGGAAAAAAGAAATCGATGTTACTTTTAAGGTACACTTCTCTTTGAAGCACCAAACACTGCTGCGATGTAAGCAGGAATTTTTTTTGGAGACTTCAGTTAGATGAAAGGTGGAAGGGTCAAACTGCGTAAACCATGGAGAATAATTTGGATCATTGGAAGGAAGGATTTCACAGACAAAAGTCAGTCTTCCATGAGAATACAAATAGTACACTGTGTCCCCTTAGTGATAACAAAAGGTCATATTAGCTAATAAGCGCTTAACTTGTTAGTTAAAGCAGACCATTTTCCCTGAATGTAGTTTTCCATCTTAACAAGAAGTTCCAGTAAATTGAGGCATTATGGTTCTATGTATTAAGAGCTATAAACTGGTAGATTCCTGCAGGACTATGTTGGGAAAAGAACAACACTGTTAAAGTTTTGATGCCACAAAGTTCTCAACCTGTGCCAAGAGAGTTTCGGGGAAGCCAGTATATATATTTTTAACCAGCTTCTTAAAGCTGCAGAGCAAGTTGTTCAGGCAACATCCCTTTTTACGTGCTTTTAAAACAGGATATTATGAAAGTAGTGTATTTGGGCTTTTGCATTTCTTTTTAAAATTACTCCCCGTGGCTCTGACTGTATATGTAATATATTTTTAATTGTCATACTTCATAAATGTGTTGTGTATAAGCAGTCACATGGAAAGCACATAGTTTATATTTGGTAGGGTTTTTTTGACTCTCAGAACAGATGTAATTTACAATTTGTTTAAGAGTGTTTGAGGAAATGCAGTTCCTGTATTAACTGTGTTGGAAGCAGCTTTTGGAGTGGAAATCAGGTAGGCGCAAGGAGGAGCCTGGAGCTGTGGGGCATGAATCAGAGCCAGCTGGGGAGAGGCAGCATTCCAGGAAAAGAGGGTCCGGGCCTGGGATGGGGTGTGGGAGGTGCAGGACTACAAGTGAGGGGTGAGTGCTCTCCTGGGAATAGCACTTGACTCTTCAGAGTTTTGGTTCTATTCACACAGCAAGGAATTAAGAGGAAAAAGAAGGAAGTTGCCTGGCTGTTGTGGAGCCTGAGCTGTCCAGGCTGTGCTCAGAGCTAGAGCTCCAGCTGCGGGAGGTGGAGGAGGCAACTCCCATCCACTGCAGGGTCCCCTCTCCCGACACCGTTGTGACTGCAGTTTCCTACCATAGCAAACTGTTTTGCTGGGCCTTTTTGGTGGCTACCAAGGCTGGCTAGAGCACTGCAGGGTGCAGACTTGTGTGGCCTCAGGGGGCAGTTTAGGAGCCTCTCTGTGAGGCTGTGATGACTAAGTCTCTTACACAGGGGAAGTTCAGCAAAAATCACACTTCTTTTTCTTTTTATTACAGTTCCTGATGAATTGCTCCTGGGGTGAGTATCTTTTGCTTTAGGTCTTGTCCCAAGTGTCCTGCTAAAGGACAATAAATAATCTGTGTTATCATAGTATTGCTATTTCTTTTCCTGTTCTTGCCTAGTACTTGTTTCTCATGCATTACTGCTAAATGCTTTTGCTGGTAGTGGGACTGACTGTCCAAAAAGACTATCTCCAGGGATTTCCCAAAGATTCATGAAATTATCTCACTGTCACTGAGTCTCCTGTGATGACCTGCTCTAATTTGGGATGGATTAAACATGCAGAAACTCAGAATGTTTCAGCAGAGCTCTGAGTCCACCCTCAGACCTGGAATGAGTTTTCTGTGAAAGCAGACAGTGTTTCAGATGATTACTGCTACTGGAACACTGCATCTCCACTGCCTTCTTTTTGTGAGCACAGCAGCATCCTGAGATCTTTTCTTGTGTTGGAGACACAGAAGAAGAAGAAAAGCAAATGTATCATCTGTCTGCAAAAGAAGATTGTCACCTTGAAGATTACCCGAGAGTTTTCTTCTTTTTTGAAACTCTGAGGTCAGTTTCATTCCCCTTGCATTCACTGAAGCTTAGGAATAGGTCATTTGAAACTCTGAGGTCAGTTTCATTCCTCTTGCATTCACTGAATCTTAGGAATAGGTCATACCCAAGAAGTGCCTTCTCCCAAAAGATGTGAGTATTGAAACTTCTGCAGCCCTCACTAGTCAGTGGTGGTGGCAGAGCAAAGGTACCATCACTGTGATAAAGCCTTTTCATTTTCCTCTTTAGTTTTGTGTCTTTGCCTGCTTGTAATTTAGCCAGGAGAGGAGGTCGCCAGGAACCTTTCAAGCTTCAATATCTTTGAGTCTAAAGCAATCCAACGCAGCAGTCTCTGCCTGTAAAAGGTATGCATGCTGGCTCCTCTTCTGGGACTGTAGTGACCCTTAAACACTGAGATTATATTTGACAAGTGTCATACCTTTTTGTTTCCTTCTTGTCATAAAAGGAAAGAGGAGGAAAGAAATTCCCTCGTTAAGGTTAGTAACGGTTGGGTGGTAATACTTGGCAGGCGGATTGCTATCAATTCCCTTTGACCGGGGGCTCAGAAGTACTCTCATTTCATTTCTGAATGTCTTCCAAATCTCTCCGGTCCCTGAATTTCCTTTGGGCATTCCCCTTTCTTATTTCCTGTTAAACCGATCAAAGTATATACATGAAGAAAGAATTACCCAAATTGGAAAGAGTTACCGAAATTCATTAGCCTCAGCCCACTTGTAGCCCCAAACCTAATCATTAAGGAATGTCTTGCGCTGAGTGTTCCCCACCCACCTCAGTCCATCAGATGAAGCCAATCTGCATTGCCTTGAGTTTTTGCCACTTAAGATCTGCTGTTCCTGGAATAAGTCTGTCTGCTTGGCTTGTTATCAATGAGATTGACTCAAATACATAGGTCAAATACTGAGACGCCCAAGCTCTGTCTTGGCTCTTTGTGTCTTGATGGGAATTGGAAGTGTTCCTCTGCTTTCTTTTGTAATGTTTTGAAATATCCTTTCATCACTGCTGGTTTCCTTGTTGTTTACCTTTGTAACTAATCTAGACTACACAAATTTTCTCAGTGGATAAAAGATTAAAAATTATCTCTGTTACCCCTGAACTCTTTGGAATGCAGTCAGAGCAGCAGGATGTACAGATATAGAATAACTTCTAAGCCTGAGAGCTGTCTGGACATTAGGGTAAAGGTCCAGGTCTCTATATTTGCCATATAGTTTATCACATACCCATGCATCAGGAGATACAATCCTTCTTGAACTGTGCTCATAGCAGGATTAGAGATGTAAAACTGTTGCTATTCATTGCTCCACATTCAGCAGAGTGTCTGCAGAGCTCCCGTGATGGGGAGAATGCCAAGCAAAAGGTTGATCAGGTCACTGCAAGGACCTTCCTTCATGTACTTCTTTTGTGATCGTTGGTGACCTGCAAAGGGACTCTGTCAAGCCAAAAGAACTGCCTAAAGATACCTTCTCACCCACATGGCTGATACTGCCTGATACAACCATACAGAGTGAATGTTGAAATCTCACTTTTGTATCTTTGATGCACTTTGTCTCATTTTAGTTCAGGACAGGAACCACTTCATGTCCTGTTTGTGTAACACAGACCCAGAATTGTTTGGGTCATAGTGCTAAAGAAACAGATAAATTGTAATCTGACTGCCTAAGAAAAAAACCTTAAAATGCCTTGTAATTAAATTCCAGCAGAGTTTTGCAAAGAGAAGTGGAAATGTTTAGGAGCAGCTTGAAAATGAAGAAGTTCTCTTAAGAATGTCAAAAGCCACATAGATGCATGGAATAGCAGGCAGGATGGAGGCTGTCCTTAAGGACTGAGTCCTGTCAGTCTTCCAAAACAGTGGCTGCCAGCTGAGATGCCTCCAGGTTGTCTTAGAGGGCTGGAGAGTCACTTTGTGAAAGTAGAAAAAATGAGAATGACTTAGATGGTTGGTAGGATAGTTAACAGGCCTGTAAATGATAGGATTTTGAGTTGCAGTGGGAGCCTTTGGCTGCAGCCTTCAAATAAGGTTCTCATTTTGTGGTGTGACCTAACCAGATCCCTAATCTTGTCTTTCAGACTGAAGTTCATATTTGGCCCCTGTGCTCTCCCAGCTTTGGATTTGGTGGATCAACGTTCTGTCACCCGAGTTGTGTCCCCTAGTGGAAGGACTGCATACCAGGTACACCCCGTGCCTCTCTACCACCTCGGTTTTTGATGATTCTGTGAAGCAAGGGAGCTGACCTCTCTGTTGGAGGCAGTCCTGCAGTCCCCACCTGGTGGGAGCTGCTCTTTGGGGTTGGTTATTATCTACTGCTGGCCCTGCCAATCTGATCAGCTGTTCAATGGCAAAGAGCAAGTGTCAGGACTGCTCCTCTCCTACCTCTGTGGGTAGACCCTCTGCTTCTCCTAAGCAGAAAGAACCAGTGGAAAGGTAGGTCGGAGTCAGTCACCAGGGATTAATATGGTAGAAGCCCCGTTTTTAGCCCAGCACTGCCTGAGTGACGGCTGTGACTTGAGCAGTCCCCCTGCATCACCAAAGGTCTGGCACTTACGTCCTCCCAGCTGACAGGCAGCCTACATGAAGCTCTTCCTGCCTGCAGGTGCAGACATACTTCTGAGCAACATTCCTCTTCAGTGAAGCTTGATTGCTGATTAAGGCCATGCTGATGAGTTCATTATCAGAGGAATCTGAAGAGCTTTTTCTCTGGGGGTGGGAAGCTGGTCCCATTGCGAAATTCTTCCTCGGCACAGCTGTCTGAGAGGCTGAAACAGAGCAGAGCCTCCCCTGAGGCCACTGGCTGGAGCAGTGACAGGATTACAATCTGGGATCATAGAGACCGAAGCACTGAGTGGGACACGGCACTCAGAGTAGCTCGGCAGTGTCACTAACTCTTGCTTTATGCGTGTGGTGTAAACATATCCCAGCTGTGTGCACATTTTTCTCAGCAGAGGAGCATGCCTGGTGCCGGGCGGGCTGTGGGGGGACATCCGGTGCTGCCTGGAACGATCACACAGTCATCCACCCCCTCTCCAGAAAGCCAGATCTGTGCTGCTGTTCACACCCAGAGGTGCTTGAGCTGAGATATATGATGGTCTCTTTGCTCCCAGCTGAACCTAGAGAACTCTTCTCTTCGGGACCGTGACACTGCTCTATTGTGGATCTCTCCTGAGTCCTCATAGCCAATCTGAGTTGTTGATACCCTACAGGCTAAAATGCTGTTTGTGTTCCACGTCAGCCAGCACATCTTGGGCACTGCTTCAGGGAAAAGCGATTCTGCTCAGACAGGTCTCAGGACTGCAGCCTGTAGTATAGGCAGGTCTCGCCTGAGAAGGAAGAAGCCCTCAGTGAAGTGAAAGCTGTGATTTGTTTAATGCCCAGGTATTAATGCCCCTGCTACATACTACAGAGGTAGCACTGATGCGGGGGGTGTTGCTCAGGGCTGATGTTTCCCCAGAGCTGTAGTTGTTAATCACCCCAGAGGAACTGTTACAGTGTCTGTCTGCGCTGTATCTCCAGAGCAGAGGTAGGTGTTACCTGCTGCGCGGCCATGGCGCAGGGATGGGAGGGATCCTGGCCAGCTGCCTGCTGTGCTGGCCTTCAGCAGAGCTGTGACACGCTTGGAGGCTGCTGCTGGGTCAGCTGGTGGGTACACCTGGGCCGCAGAAATGCTGTGAGCTCTGAGAGTAGAGGCAGCTAGCAGGGAAGGAGGCTGTGCTCCAACCTCCCCCCAGCTGTCACCTGATTGCTCACATCCTGCAGTTTTATTGGATTCTTCTCTATAATGTCTTTTTTAAAATTAATCTAGAACTCTGTGGCAGCCTGCGCCACTGTCAGGAGTAGAGCAGCAGGTCCTGGTACAGACACGTGGTGCTGCCCAGTTGTTCAATGGTGACAGCGGTAGCTACCGCACAGTGTCAGAGCTGGACGTCCCCTGTGTCCCAGCACGCTGGCAGTGACATTGTCACCAAGGTCCTTCCTCCTCTGTGCAGCCAGTGACGTGCCTGCAGGTCAGCGTAGTGGGAGGAAATCTCATGGCCAAGAAAGCACCCTGGTTCTGGGGCTGGCCTCAGTAGGATGGAAGTGGAGGCACCTTTTCCTCTTGGTCTTTGGATTTTAAATTCTGCCTTATTAGGCAATAGCTGCATTCTTGCCATCTAGGTCAGGATAGGAGAGCTCTAAACTCAGCCAGAATCTGGCAGTGTCTGTGTTTTTCCACCCCTCCTCAAAAGAAAACACTTACAAAGGAAAGGCACCATCAGAATCCTCCATCTTGGAAAAAAAAACAATCAAAGGGGCTAGAGATAAACAGATTTATCATAAGTGAAACAAACAGCCAGGAGAAGTGGCAGGGCCCACGGTAAAGGATGGACTCTGAAAAAAGCCTAGTTCCCCCTGAAATGGGTCTGCAAATCTTGCACCCCAGGTCTGCTAGGAGAGGTGGGAGATGCAAGGTGTAGAAACTCCATGGGAAAGCTCATACTAGTGAGCTCAAAGGTTCTCAAAGTAGCTTTCTAAGAGTTATTTCCCAGTCTTGCAGAAAGCAAAAGAGAAGTAATCCCTTGGGTGGCTTTTCTGCACCGTGCAGTTGGCTCCAGCAGCAGCCCCCTGCACTGTTTCTCTGCAGCTTTGCGTGCTGGAAGTGAATCCTTCCCTGCCTGTGTCCAGCACCTGTGCTGTGGAGATGTGTCTCGGTACCAGCCTTCCAGAGAGCAGCATGTGGGAAAGGGAGACAGTGCTGTTCCCAAACCAGAGCTGGAGCAGGGAGGCTTCTTCTCTGGAGACTTGAACTTTGTTTATTCGGACAAAGCTGGATTCCAACAGCAGCAGCTGCTTGTGGGAGCAAAACAGCAGGAGCCCTTGTGGCCCGCAGCCACAGGAGCTGATCAGAACGGCCTGGCTAGCAGCTGGGCTCCTTCCAGCTGCAGGTCTGCGATGGACCCGGCTGCACGAATGAGCTTTCTGTGATGAAGTAGCCCTCATCATCTTCAACCCTCTAATGCATCTGCCAGTGCTGCAGGAGGGAGCTCGGGCTGTGGAGAGGCCAGGGAACGGGGTCTGTGCTCGCTGGTGCTGCCCTTTTCCTCATCTCTCTGCGGCAGAGGTGGCAGCCAGCATAGGGGCGCTTCCATATAGAAGCGCTTCCCTCCTCTCCAGTGGAAGGGAAGCATGTAGAGCATGTAAGAAAGAGAGCTGTGGGTTTTCTAGCCTCCTGTGGATCCTTGGAAAAAGGCAGGGGGATGGAGCACTGCTGTGCACTGTTACTTGTGGCCGAAGAACAAATGCCAGGGGGTGGTGCTGACACAGGTAGGTCTGTGCTGCCTGTCCCTCCGGATCTGCCTTGGCCACACACGGGCTTGCAGGCTGCCCAGTATCTGCCTTCCTCCCTCCCCCTGTGCCACGCTGGCCCTGCTGCTGTCCCCTGGGGGCCTTGGCCTGCTGGCTGTGGGGAAGCTGTGCGCTCTGCCGCCTGTAAGTGCCAGCCCCTGTGCTCTGCAGGGCCCTTCGTGATTGTAGCACCTCTCCACCCGACGTATGCTGTGAGTCACTGTGGGGAGGAAGGACATCAGGCCAAGGACAGGAGTTTGGGAGGTTGAGAAATGGAAAAACTCCTTCCTCACCCACCTGCCTTTGTTTCAGGTCCTCGGGAGTTCAGGCAAACTCTACACCTGCTATAGCTCCTGCCACTTCTGCACGTGTCCTGCTTTTGATTTCACTGTACTGCAGAAGAACGAGAGCCTGCTGGTAAGTTGCCTGCTAACTGAAGCCGAGGACAGAGAGAGAGGAGAAGGCTCTGCTGAGCTCTCCTCCTTGAATCCAAGCACCTGAAAGTTTCCAAGGGAGCAACCATGAGTATTGAATTAGCCATACAAGCTGCAACTAATCCAGCAGGTAGTCAGGCCTCTGGGAGTCACACTATCCGGCTGGAGCTCAGCCTACATGGATGTGGCTTTTGTTCTTAATTACACATCAATATTCTGATAAGAGGTGAAGAATCCTTGTTCTCTTGGAGCCAGGGCTGCTGCTCTAACTGTGGCATGGAGTCTGGCTGATGAAGTGGTGTGGTAAACCCAGGGCCAGCGAGGAAGGACTCAGGGTAACTAAGTGGCTTGTAAGTGCCCACCCACACCAGCCATCCCTTCCTCCAGGGGAAACCTGTTCCAGGAGCTTCCTAACCTGGACTGCCATTTCCTAGAGGACCTTGTAGGGTGTGTGAATGCTGCCAGGCAGCCCCGAATCAGCTGTTGTTCATTATAGCCTGAACCCACCAGCTCCTGTGTCCAGTAAGGAGAAGGCATTAGGATCTAGTAATGCTCTGCAGTGTGTCAGAACCCTGCATCGTGTTATCTTGATCTTGGGATTGACCTGGGGCCAACGGGGACTCCAGCCTGTGCTAGTGCCTGCAGTGCTCAGAGGGAGCCATTGCTTCTGAGAGGGGTGAGCTCTTCATTAAACACAGCCTGGCCAGGATGGATTTTTGTGGCTCCCAGGTGTGGTGGGATGTTCCTGCATTGCTCCTGCTGTCATCATGTCCATTCTCCTGTTTGCAGTGCAAACATATACTGGCCGTCTACCTCAGCCAGGCCATGGGAGCATGCCAGGAGGTAACTGTCTCCGAGGAGCAGCTTACAAACATCTTACTGGCTGAGGATGAGGAAGAAGGATGAAGGATTTGGATCAGATGCAGGTGTGCCTTTTTTCTACTCTTCCATTTGCTCTGAGAGGTGTAATTGGCATTCTTACTGTCTACAAAGCTGTCAAATGTTCATTTTGGCTAGTAGATTTCTTTCTGTGCTGCACCCAGCATGACATTAAATGGCATCCTTGCACTGATGGACCAAATAATAAATGCATGGGCATGTGCAGAAACAGTTGACATCAGCCTGGCTGCTTCGGTTTTAAATCACAGAATGCTCAGGGTCAGAAGGGACCTCCAGAGATCAACCCGCCTGCTTGACCCAATTCAGACAAACCAACCACTTAATGCTGCCAAGCAAGGCAAGAGGTTGTGGAACTATTTTCCCCTGTGAGAATCCCCTCTAGGATCAGTGTCTTTTCCTCCAAGTTAAGAGTTGCGTTGAAACTGTCTCCCTTCTCAGTCCGGGGTGCAGCCTGCTACGGTTGTATCTGGTGTCTGGTGTTGCCAAGCTGTGACAGCTGCCTCTGTAGAGCTGCAGCAAGGCCTGCTGCCCATGTCCCACATGGGCGAAAGGGAGAAGTGCTGCTGCCCCTACCCTGCACACCAGGAACGCCCTCACTCAGCAGCCAGCCCCGTGCCAGGCCGTGTGACAACCTGCCCGTGCTCTGCAGCGGGTCTACGTTGTCTATCAGGGGCTTGTGTGACACACAGCTCAAACACAACACCGAAAGAAATGACAGGGCACAGGCTGAGCCAGGTGGTGTAGGTGGTAAATTAGGCATTCTGTATGGAAATAACCAAGTTACTGCAATTACAAAATCTCAGCAACAAGAGAACACATCAATCCTAATTACATCAGAGCAGCAGTGAGTGATTGCTGAGCATTTACAGCTGCGCTTACCACAGAAAGGTCCTCAGCCACTTTCGCTTCACATTTTTATAGAAACCTTCAGAGCTTATTTTTTGTGTTTGTGTTGGAGGCGGTTCTGTTTTTATTTTGCCTTCAAATGACTTGGGCTCAGATCCATGCAGGCACTTACATGCCAAAATACCACAGTGACCTACGCCAAGGGCATATTCATGCCAAGGAACAGCACATCTGTCTGCAGGAATTCTGGCTCATAAGAGGCATCCGAGAGGTAGCCACAGAGGCTGCTGATCTGCAGCACAAGGTGTCACATTCAGGCACGTGCTCTGCGACCAGCCCTTGCTCTGAACTGCAGCGCTGCACAGTTCAGTCTCTTCTGTGCTGTCGGGATTTTGGTTCATTTTCAGACAACAGGAGGGAAGGGATTACATTTTTTTATTGGAAGGATAAATGTGGCTTGTAACCACTTTGCAACACTGCCAGACCTGCAGGTGAAACCCTGGTTGTTTCCAGCTATGATTAACAGGAGGAACATGGCCAAAGATAATACGGAAGGGAAGGAATGAAGTAAGGAGAGCCAAACACTGCCCAAATGGCAGGAGGTGGATACATCCGTTAGCTGGACCATGAACAAGGCAGATGCAGCAAAGCTGAATGGGGATGTTAAAGGAGAAGCACTTGGGACAGTAACTTTAACTATTCAGGATCTTTTTGGAAATGCCCGTATCTGAGATACCCAAACCAGTTGCAGCCAAATTTGGATAAACCCTAAGCATCTGCAGGCCCATTCAGAGCTTACTGGTGATTCCCCAGGGTTTGGGTCTGGCTCTGTCCACACATTGAGCTGCTAAATACAAAGCATCTACATTCATCACTTGTTAGAGAACTGGCCTCTGTGTGCAAGCTGGGCCCTGGATCCCACCTGCAGCTGCTCCTTGCAGATCACATCAGCTGGCAGAGCAGATGCTGCTGCAGCAGAACTTGTTCAGATAAGATTTTCACCACTGTTTTTCAGTTGATTTTACAGGTTATTTGTCGTCTATATATTTCAGAGAAATTAAACTCTGAAGTGTGTGAGGGGGTCTTATGTTGCACCACCCCCATAAGTGCAATGCAGTTAGAAAAAAAGAAAAAGAAAAGCTGATATCTCTATAGTTCAAGTACAATTTATCAGGGACAAACTGTTCTATGGATCACAGTCTGCCCACTGGGCCTATCCTCCAGGATCTGGATGTGTTTACATTTCCTTCCCTGCAACCTGACTCTAAAATGACTGCTTATCTCTGTCTCCTGCTGTGGATTAGGAAAGCCAGTGTTACGGGTTACCACTGAGAACCATATTAAATCCCTATCCTTGCACTCCAGCTTACCACCAGTCACAGTGATCACAGTTCTCTTGGCACTGAGTGCTACAGAGGGAAGTGCTGCCACTTTTCAGCCACTGAAGAAAAGGCCATCAGGTAAAACTCCTGATTTGAAGCAGGCTGCAACGCTATGGCAGATCTGAGCTAGATTTTGATCTGTCCTTTAACAAGATGCTTTTCCTTCCACAACCACTTTATGGCTGGAGCAGTAACATGGTTTGCTTCATGTCTTAGTCTTACCCGTCAAGCACATGTCTCTGCGCCAAAATCAGCTTTTGGGCATGAAGGAGGGAGCCTGATGTTCTGTCTGACTCCCTTTCCTCACCCCATTTCTTTCAGTTGTGGAATGAACTGCCCTGCTGGAGGGTTCCAGAAACATTGCTCTAGTCTCCATGCAATTTGGAGAGTACCAATACTTTGGAAAACAATGCACTTTTCCTTCTACCTTCCTATAGTTTTGTATACCACAGTTACATAGTAACTCAGGTGCAGTAATTAAAAACTGAGCTGTGGCTGTGGAGAGTTACTAACTTGCAGTATAAATTAAGACCACTCTGGAGCTGAGTGGGCCTTTTCTTTTAAAAGGCCAGGGCCCTGCAGTTACAGTCAAGGCTAGAAAATCTGTGGTATGAACTTCTTTCCCATAGAGCTCAGCCAAGATCAGCTCGCAGGTCAACACATTCTAGTTTCTCAGGCAAAATAGTTCCCTTCCAGTGCCTTTTGCTGCTGGTGTAGGTCAGGGTAAAACCTCCTCACTGCTAGAAGGAGCTTCATGACTGCTGAGGCTCACAAGGATATACACGAGTGCCAGCAAGATCACGTTGTAGGAATCACAGCACAAAGCCTGCACTTCTGGAAGCAGTGCAGGTCTAGCAAGGTTTGACTTGAGAGCAAAGTCTAATTGTAGAGATCATGTCACCAAGGGAGCATTTCCACTAACCCCAGAGACTTTGGACCGGACTCTCTGTGACTACCTGGGTGCTTCTGCCTTCTGAATTTTGAAAACAGAAATCAGATTTGATGTCACACCTGAAGAACTGGTCTGAAGAATTCAGTAAATCCAATAGAACAAAGTGATTAAAGACAATAAGACTGCTAAAGTTTGTGAGTTCAGCCAGCCCTTTCCTAACATTTTAGCATTTTGTAAGCAGGGCTTCTGTACTGGGGCAAAAATACATGGCCAGTTAATGAACTTGTTTTCCCATTAGCACGATCAGTTCCCTCCAAGCCTGGAAACACAGATTCAGTTTCACACCAGCAATTGGTCAAAGTAAGACTTTTTCCCATCAGAGAATACTAGCTGCATCAAACAATTGATGGAATAATTAGGGTATTACCAAAGTGCTGTCAAGTATGGACTTAAAGAACAACTCAAAAACAGACACAAAATTATTACTAAGTGAATTAAAAGAATAAAAAAATAATCATAATAAAAATAAAGATCCTAGGACTTGACATGAGCAGCACAATTGGGGAAACACCCCCCAGCAGGTGGGTCTTCCATAGTCAATGTTTGACCTGGAAATGAAATACAATAAGATCAACAGCACTCATGGAACCTGGGTTACAGTAGAAGGGGAGCTGCACGCAGTCTCCCCGGTCAGGTTATTCCTCTAGGAGGCACTATGTTAATAAAAAAATAAAAAATACAGCTGCATAACTGCATAGTGGTCATCTCTGAGCGCTCCTCTGGGAGTCAGCGGTTCACATAGGCACAAGGAAGGGTAGTGTCAGGGACAAATGCAAGATCCCAGGAGCAGGACATGCACGGTCATATGGTCACAGAGGCTGCTGGAGAGTTAGTACTGCAGACAGTCAGGTGCTGGTTGTTGTCAGTGGAGCACTTGGGGAGGTCATCTGCCTTACAGAGGATCTTGGAGAGGATCTTATGGAATGTGTAGCGGAAGTCCCTGATCCTGTAGGCGTAGATGATGGGATTGATGACAGAGTTGGCGTGGGAGAGGATGATGGCCATGTACATCACCCACTCAGGCTTGGATCTGGAGAAGTCCTCATGGAAGAGAGAGATGCAGTTCAAGATATGCAGGGGCAGCCAACAAAAAGCAAAAAGTCCTACGATGATGGCCAGAGACTTGGCTGCATGAACCTCCTTCTGTAGTGTGGTCCTGGAGTTGCCCATCAGTTCGATCTGATGCAGCTGTTTGCAGGCGACCATGAATATCTTGATGTAGATTCCAAGCATGATCACGAGTGGCAGCAGCACACAACCAAAGAAGTTGAAGTACACCATGTAGCTCATAGTCACCACGTTCTCAAAGAGGCATGAGATGAAGCAGCCATGGTGGTCCTTCCCAGGGGCAGCCCCTGTCTCGTTGGTGGCGTTGGGACACCCACTCATGGCTTTATTCCAGCCCATAAGCGGAGTCAGTCCAATTGCAAAGGACAGGACCCACAGCACAGCGATGAGGCCTCTTGCCCGCTTCCCGGTTACCAGACTATTATACCTAGAGAATCAGGAACAAAACCAAAATGGAGCCATTACGTAAAGGAGCGCTTGTGACTTCGCTGCGCGGCAGTTAAAGCCACCCACGGTCTGGCCAATATCCCAAGAGCCCCCTACCCCTCCGCAGGAACCCACCTCTGCCATCATTTGGTTCGATCATGCCGTGCCTGCTCACACTCACTGGGCTCCTGCGAGGTGCCCTGCACTGCCCCTCACCCCTGAACATCAGCCCTGGGAAAGGACTTGGGTTCCTCAAAGGGCTTTGTTGCTGCATGGCCCTAAGCCACCAGCAGCAGAGGTGGCTGTAGAAGGAAGGCTCCTCCTGCAACCAGCTCGTGCTCAGAGGATCCGCTGCTGGGCACGCGGGGGCACGCGAGGCCGCCTGGGCCCGGCCAGCAGCACCGCATGTTCCGACGGCCTTTGCACCACAGCCAACCGGCTTCGGCTTGGGCTGCTGGAGCCTGCAGCAAAGGCAGCCTGTGCTGGAGCCTGCAGCAGTCCAATAATGTGTCTCGGCTACCTCACAGATTAATGTGGGAAGCATATGTGTGTGTGGAAACTGTGGATCCTACGAGCTTCCCAAACAGTGCAATTGCTGGCTTCCACACGCCAGGATGCAGCCCACGCTAGGGTGTTGTGGTTGGATAACAAATACCCTGAAAGGCTTCTCTGTGCCAGCATCCGAAAGCAACTGCTAATGATAGATTCCTTAAGAGCGGTCCAAGCCAGGGCCGTGTCGCTCTTCAGCCCTGGATCCAAGCAGGGGAGCTAGAAGCACTGCGCCCGTCTCCCCCCTTTCGCCTCGCGCACCCCTCGCTGCTGCCAGATGAAGCTTGTGCTCTCCTGCCCCACCAAGTGGGTGTCAGGGCTGCAGGTTTAAGTCCTTGGGCACCTGCTGTTCCCGGTGCTGGCCGGACGCTCAGCGGTGGCTCAGGGACAAGCTGCTGCGGCGCGGGGCGCTGCAGAGGCCTGCGCTGCCCCCGCACCAAGGGCTGGGCGCCTGCGTAGCCGAGAAGGCCAAGGTGCCCCCAGGTGCACCCAGGAGCAAAGGGAGTGGGAATAGAAACAGAGACGCAGCAACGAGGAGCTGCCTGGGACGCACTTAGAAGAGCTCCCAGTCTCACAGCATCGCTCAGATCGCTTTGCAGGGATAGGGAGAGCGCAGCGAGTGCCAGACGGACAACATGCGAAATCCATTATTGTCCTATCTATAGCAAATGAGCATCCCCTGGCCTGCCCTGCGCGCGGCCCCCCCTGCGCCCTCCGCGGTGCTTGTTTACTCTGGCCTCCCTGCCCGGCTCCTCCTCGCCCAGGAACGCTGCTCTCCCTTTCTTCCGGGCTCTCATTCCCACAGCAGCGCAGCTGTGCGCGTGAATCAGCCCCGGCCGCGCGCGGG